CAACATTTTTGATTCTACGAAAAAACAAATTAAAGACCAATCTCTTTGTTCTCTAAATGTTTGTGAACCACAAACCCAAATATTTTTGTTGAGAAAAAAAATGAGAAAATCAAACTTTTTGAAAAAGAAGAATTATTCAAATTTTCAAAAAGAGAATGGATCCCACCTGGGATTGAAGTGATACCAGAGAAGAAATCCCGGCCTTACTGGAGAAGGCCGAAAAAGAAAAATGAAACAAGAGATGTTCACGATCCCACATAAAAGAAAAATAAATATATAACGTCGTGCCGCGACATTAAATCAAGCGCTTCTTGGGAGGCAACCTAATTTCTTCATTTTTTAAATTTTTTCAGTAGTGTGTGTTAAAAAAAACAAAAAAAAAAAATGAACTGGGGTTGGACCCGGCCGGGTATAAACCCTAACCCGGTCGGGTTACTTCTAAAAACTAAACACCCGGGCAACCACCCGGGCGAGGCGAGAGAAAAACAAAAATTAATTTTTCGCCCGACCGGGTAGACGTTTGCACCCGGCCGGGCAACACAGCCAAATCATTCTGCCTCGGGTGAACAAGTTATACCCGACCGGGTAGACCACTTTACCCGGCCGGGCTACCAAACACAAAACCTTCTGCCTGGGGCAAATAGCGTTCACCCGACCGGGTAAACTACCCCACCCGACCGGGCGAACGGGAAAACACAGAATACCAGGTCGGGCTCACCCCCTTCCCCTCCCACTTCTTCTTCCTCCCAACACCAAAATTCGCAAAATCCACCATTTTCAAACACCCAAACCTTCGAATCTCCCCATTTCCTTAACCAAATCCACTAAAAACCCCCATTTTCTTCATCTCCTCACTTCCCTCTCCATCTATATACCCATAAAATCCCCCCAAAACTTCCCAATCAAACAAACCCAAAAACCCTACCCAAAATTCGAAAATCCCCATTCTTGGACTACCTCAATTTAAGTTTTATGTGACTAAGTTATCTATAGAAGTGGTTATTTTGTTTGCAGTAAAACGAATTGAGGCAAACCAAGTAATATAAAATTATGTGAAAATAAAAATCATGTATATAATTGAATCTAAATGAGATAGGTTTAATTTGATATTGAAAAATATGATCATTCGTTGAACACTTGGATCATAATTTTGTCAATGTCAAATACCAAAAAGGTTATTCAAATAATACCCAAGATAAAATTCATTTAATCATAAATATAGAATAAAAGTTATACTTCTTTAGAAATGAATGAATCTTATTTTCACAGAGAAATTATAATTATATTATACTCCTATTTGACTAATGTTCTTTATTTTGAAATTATATACGTCTTCCGATCCTAAATAAAATTCATAGTTTGACTTTACGGTTTTTAATAAAGTTGAATTTTTACTTTTAACTTTCCCATTATACCCTTATTGAAACTAAATTATTTGTTGTGGGACAAAGAAATTGAGTGTAAAATATGTAAATATAGTAAGGATATAAGGGTAACTTTATATTAAAAACTAAAAAATAGAAGTATGTCAAAAAAATGTCGTAATGTCAATTAATCACAATAACAATGTCAATGACAATGTCATAGAAATGTCATAAAAATGTCAATAATAATGTCATAAGAATGTCAATGACAATGTCATAAGAATGTCAATCATCATTATGAAAATAACATTGTTAAAACTAAAGACATTTTTATTTTGAGCAGATGCGACGTTTGCAAGACAAAACCTATTCACATTCATCACTTTATACTTTATGTTTATTTTTTTTAAATATAATATAAATGATAAAAAAATAATGTAAATGACTAAAAGGAATAAAAAATAAACTAGTTTGGTTCCACTTTCATTGTTATTAACTTTTAACTTTTAATTTTTACTTTTAACTTTCCCATTATACCCGTATGTTATGACATTGTTATAAATGTTTGGTTCCACTTTCATTGTTATTCTTATAAATGTTTGGTTCCACTTTCATTGTTATTCTTATGACATTGTTATTGACATTTTTATGACATTGTCATTGGGTAATTGACTGTTGGATAATTGATACCCATATCCTATAACTAGTGAGAGTTTGAACAAGAGTGGAGAAGAAATGATGAAGAAGAAGATGAATAGTGTATAGAATGAATATTGGTTGTATGAGTTGTGTAGCCTCCTAAAGGAGTATATATAGGAAAAATCCGGGTCTGGGCCTCTAATATGGGGCTGACAGACCCGGTTACATAAATGGACAGATAGTACAAAAAACTAATCTAGAACATCTGAATAATAATAATAATGTACAATAATATGAATGATATCCGCTAAACGTGTGTGGGCCGCTGTCCAGGCTCAGTAGTCGGCAGACAGGGGGGTCGGAGTCCATATATTCCATCAGGAGTCCCCCACTCCCTGAGTCGAGAGTACTCGAGGCGAAAGGGAGTAGTCCAAACTGTATCTGCAACGTTCTTCTGTCTTTGATTTCTTCCTTTCCGGCCGGGGACCACCACCCTTGTCCATGATGGGGAGGTGCCTCGTTAAAAACCTTTACTAGGAAAAAACCCAGTGGGAAAAAATCCTAATAAAGGGAAAAAGAGTACACCTAGCGCCCCCAACATGAAACAAGGAAGGTAAGCTCCCTCCGACATAATCAATTTTGTCTAGCTCAACTCCTCTTCATCTGACTCAGCTTTCGTTCGTGCTCATGTGTGATATTTTCTGCTCATCTAGAAACTCTGACCCCTCAGTCCCCCAGTCCCCACTCTTTGAGGCGAGTGGAGACGAGACGAAAATGAGTAAAGTCATCTTCGTACCTACACATTTAACATGCATATAAATTTTTTTCTTGGGGTTTATGTTTCCGATCGAGAGTTCGTCACTTGAAAAAGTGGAAATGTGAATTGTCAATGTAATGATAAAATACTTAGTAGAGTGGACATGCGAGCCATTCGTACGCAACGGTCGCCACTCTTGGAATGACTAAGACCGGTCTTCGTGCCCGACTTGGTCAGGGCTTTGTGCCTGACTTGGTCAGGGCTTTGTGCCTGCTCTGGGTCAGGGCTTTAAATCCTAGTGATGGGTCTCAAGCCACGGTCTACTAGGCATTTGATCATAATTGCGTGATAATGTGATATTTAACCGGAAAAAATGATTTAAATAAGCATAAATAATATGAAAATTAAAGAGTACTTATCTTTAAATGGGCTGAAATTAATGGGCTGAGAATTGGTAAGCTTTTGATTGGGCTCCCACGGTTCTAAGAGTTTAGTGAGATCAGATTGGATTCCTCTCTTCAATTTTGACTTGGTCAAACTGGCCACCATCATGTTGCTGCAGTACGCCATCTTATCCGAAGCTAGGCAACTTCCTCCTACACCAAGTCTTTTAATGAGTAGATTTCATCACAACTTGGCTAGCCATCTTATCCGAAGGCAGGCAGCTTCCTCCTAAGCTTGGAGATGACCATTGACCAGGCCAGCCCAACCATTCTCTGGTGTTGCCGGAAATGAAAGGAGTGAGAGGCGCGGAGCAACCTTCTGACAACCTTAGCTGCCATGCCTTGCTGCTGCTCACGCACGGACGTCACTAATTCGGAACGCCGGGAGTTGGAAACATCACCGGTACCGTGGCTAGTCGTCGCCGGAAAGTGGAAGAAGGTCCCACAAAACTGCTGCTGCTTGGGTTTCTTCTAGCGGGGCCGCAGCTTGGATCGCTTGGGAGCTTCGTCCGCTCATCAGAATGAATCCGTCCGACTGATAGGGTGTGCGGGGACGTGGGTTGCGACCAGGAGCAACTGCTAGTGAGATCCAGTGGGGCTGGATCTGGAATGGCGAGCACAGGATCTGGACGATGATCCTTCCACGTTGGTGGCGAGATCTGGAGCAGCCGCAGACGTTTCCTCGCACGGGAGCATCCAGGACGATGATGACAGCTCCGGCTCAAGAGAGACTTCCAAATCTGAGCGTACTGATGTGGCGACGAGCTTCAGCAAGCTCTACCTAGCGGCACTCCGCGACATGCGAGATCTGTGAACGAGTATGGCGAGTTCCAGATGAAAGATTCCATTGTGGCGGCTTGGCAGACAGCGGCGACTGGTGTCAACACCTCCAGCATAGGTCTTGCAGATTCCAGATTCTTTTTTTTTTGACAATTTTTGCTCGATCTCTTTTTTTGTGGTTTGGATGAATTTTTTATGTTTTGGGAGATTTTCTCACTTGATTGTGTTCAAACCTCTCAACGAGAGCACCATTGTTGGATAATTGATACCCATATCCTATAACTAGTGAGAGTTTGAACAAGAGTGGAGAAGAAATGATGAAGAAGAAGATGAATAATGTATAGAATGAATATTGATTGTATGAGTTGTGTAGCCTCCTAAAGGAGTATATATAGGAAAAATTCGGGTCTGGGCCTCTAATATGGGCTTGACAGACCCGGTTACATAAATGGACAGATAGTACAAAAAACTAATCTAGAACATCTGAATAATAATAATAATGTACAATAATATGAATGATATCCGTTAAACGTGTGTGGGCCGCTGTCCAGGCCTAGTAGTCGGCAGACAATGGGGTCGGAGTCCATATATTCCATCATTGACATTGTAATCGCGATTATTTGCATCGCGACATTTTTGTGATGTGGTGCCTTTTTTAAAAAAAATAGCATTGTCATAATAGTTATTAACATTGTCATAATTATAACGTCTTTTTATAGCATCGATAATGACATTGCCATTGTGGCATTTTCTTGACCAGATGACATTTTTATAAATTGACATTATGAAGATAACAATGACAGAATAGACATTTTCATTATTGCAATGTTATTTTTGTAATGTTGACATTGACATTGTCATTTTTTTAATGATGTTATGACATTGTGTCATTCAAAACATTCAATTAAGTACCTACACTTCAAATAAAATCTCAAAGCAATGCAAGAGTCATTAAGCAACATGTTTCCCAGGGAGTTTGAATAGGTGACAAGTGGCTTAATGAAGCCTAGTGGCTTACACAACTGCTACATCATCATCGAAATAAGATTACTCACATTAAATGAATCTGCAAAACAAAATAAAAATAAAAAATTGAAACGTAAATTTAAACAACAATAAAAAGCTACCCAGTACAAGACATAACATGGCACTATTCTGTAATGATGCGGCCAATTCCTTTTGACCGGCGTGCGTTGACTGCTACATTGCTACTAAATTACTAAGACGAGCTCACGACAGAGCAGGGAGACTGGGAGACGTATAGCAGGCATACGGCACAGGAAAAACTCGCTAACAGAGAGGAAGAGAGGGAGAAAGGAGGAGGAGAAGGGCTAGGGCGAAGTGGATCGGAGGAGGAGACTACCCACCGACCTGCCGTTGGCGACTGCTCCGGCAATGACTCGAACCGGCGATAACCTGTCGGCAACCAATCGCGGACCACAATGAATAATTACTCCGTTGAATTAGTTTGTTAAATCTGGCCGTTATCAGAATTTGTTGGAAACGTAAAATATGAAACGACATTTTTATCTCTCCATTCAAATTAAGTCCAATTTAGGAGTTTAAAAGTTTGAAGTCCCATTTAAGTTAGGAGCCCTTCTTTTAGCCCTATCGAAGTCTATCTCCCATTTTAAAATTGGCAATGGAATGCGATGATAAAGATAAATAGCATAATGAAATGCATGCTCCCAAAAATTGGAATGGAAGGCGACATTGAGTGAGAGGTGGTATAGGGACAGGACACCCAATGCAAAATAGGTGTGGGATTTTGGAACCGTAAACCGTAGAACCGATTGGAACTGAACCGTTATAACCCGGTTCGGTTCGGTTCCTACAAATGTGGTATTAGTTGTTAACGGTTCGGTTCCTAGTTGTTATTAACGGTTCGGTTCCTGGTTCCTCTAAAAAGTATGTGCACGGAATCGTTAAGGATCCGTTATTAAAAAATAAAAACAAAAATAAAAATAGTAGTGATAGTAATAACAATAATATCAACAATAACAATAATAGTACAATCAATGATATTTAGCCAACAATTCTAATTTAACCAACGAAAACAAAAGTAATCAATATTGCATAAGAGATTGAATACGTTAAGCTCATTTTTACAAAATCAAGTTTTGTTAAATCACATACTAGTATATTTTATAAATATAAAATAACTCAATTAACTTGTAGTTGATTGCATATATTTTACTTCACTATCTTCATGATATTTGTAACTATTAGATTTATTGTAAATTATACTACTAGCAAATAGACTGCAATGATAATTCTATAACTATACATGCAAACTCAATATATTTTTTAAGTTTTTGAAATACTTGGAGTGGACGTCATATCTTGCTACTGTGATGATGAACAACCTTTCTATCTTAACTAAGATTTTTATGTTCTACTTATTAAATGAAAATTGAAACTTTCTTTTATTCTATTAAGTGTTCACTTAATTAAGTTTAAGCTTTGATGTTTGAAGTTATTAGAACTTTAAATAAAATTTTAATACTTGTGTTTGATTTTCTTTTTAACATTTTAATGTGGTAGAAAGCAAATAATGTGCCCATTTATTAGATGAGGAAAAAATTATTCGAGGAACCGATAAAAGTAAGAACCGAACCGTTTAGTATTGGTTCGGTTCCATAACGGTTCTTGATTTTTTACACAAGAACCGAACCGATTTCATCAGTTAAAATTTTGGTAACGGTTCCACCAATTTTGAGTAAGAACCGAACCGGTCCCAGGCCTATTGCAAAATACCTTGTTCTTAGAGTAGAGTGGTAAGAGATCTAAATTCAGCACCCCAATCTCTTTGAAGTTTTTTAACGGTGACATTAAATTGGGTTTTGATTATTTTTGGAAAAATTTGAAAATACTCATAAACTTGTGATTTGTAGACCAAATACAATTATGAAGAGAATCTATATCCTAAGATACAAGTATACAACCAAGGAATTTAAGAATAATTAATCGTTAAGATATTCAGTCAATTACATCTCTATTAATCTTATTATTACCTATTACTACCTCCATCCCAAAAAGATTTGTCATATTGACTTTTCTTGGTCAATGATGATGAACTTTGGACAATTATTTTAAGTATTATATTTGCATATAATTTATAAATTTTATACTTTTATGAAAATATTATGAATAAAGAACATTTTGATATAACTTTCATATTCTAAATAATTTCGTATTAAAAAATACCATTGGTCAAAGTTGATTGTTATTGACCAAGAAAAGTCAATTTGGCGAACCTTTTAAGGACGGAGGGAGTACCATTTTGTATCAAGTCAAATCAAGCTAATTTGAGTTGTTCAAATAAAAAGAATTTTTCTCTTTAGTTCAATAATTTCCCTCATATTATTTCTGATTTAGCCTCTCAATTTCTGATCTTCTTTCACTTATTTTGAACTAGCATAGAAGATGAAAATGGGATGAAAGCATATAGTGCCTCACAAAGCATAAAACACATGGACTCTTTTATTTATTGTCAACCTTATTCTTTTATTCACGGTACGTTATACATTACACAGACATTAGATATGTATATATGTGATGGCTGGCAAGCTGGCCTAGCCGAGCTCTTAAAACGTTATGTTGGGGATATACGTCTCCCAGTTCTTGGCATACCAGACAACATGATTCTCCGGATGGAAATGGCAAACAGGTTCACTTCCTTGCTTGACCTTAAGCACCTGGAAAGCCAAATGATTTCGGTTCCAACCGGAAGTATCTTTGTGGCAAACCGCCGCCGCCTTTACCTGCGCTCCATTAACTCCGACCAGGGAAACTTCAAAAGCATCCGTCGTCTCTGATTTGTGACAATGGAAGACAGCATATCCGTAGCTCTGCTTGTGGCACACCATGACCCCATCGCCTTCTTCGTTCACTTTCTCAACGCCCGAAACGGTGTAATTCTGAAAGCATGACGTTTCGCCGGCAACGGTTTCCGTCGATACAGCCCGGATCTTCTTCCCCTGCAGCGTGGATTTGGCGAAGTCGATCATGGATTCCAGTGACGTGGCGCACTGCATAACCTCTCCTTTGACAGCCGGTTCTTCGCATTCCTTGATGGTTTTCTTCATCTCCCGAGCTTCATCGGAATCGGGTTCTACGGAGAAACGGTGGAGGATTCGGGGCATCTCCCGGGAGGAAAAAGGGATCTTTTCGGATTCCGTCCGGGGCATGAAAACGGGGCCGTTCGCGGGCGTCGATAACCGTAAGGTCATGCCGTCGGCGTTGCCTTTGTGTAATGCGGCGGGCTTGAAGAAGAGGGAGACGCCGGAGTTGTCATGGAATTCGTTTTCCGTTGCGTTGTGGCGGTAGATAATGACGCTGTTTAAGCTCTGAAATTCCTTTGCGAAGGAGGAGGTCCAAGCAGTAGCTGCTCCAGTTGGGAGGGAATTCTTGATTGCTAGGGGCATGGCAGTGTTGGGCAGCTTCGTATTCCAATACATGGTCAGCATACATGATGATGAAATTGCTGCATCGCTTCCCACCATACATAACTAATAATGAAAAAGAACACAAACAAATTAAATGGAAATATAATTGCACAAATGAAACTAAATCTTTCACAAATTAATATCCCTAATATAAATAAATATTTGTCCCCCCCTAGTTCCCTTGGAAACCAGGACAGTTCGTTGGCGGGATGTCTGGTGGTGGCGACTGCTACCAACGACGTTCGGTGGCTGACTTCTGGCAGCGATGGCAGACGTATTGGGCTAAAAAAAATAGGAAATGTTTTTGGCCCATCGGAGGTGCGATGATTGAAGTCTACAACAGGTGGCGGTGGCAGCTGAAACCTGGGCCACGACAGTCTGAGCTCCGGCGACCGGAAGTAGGTGGTGCCAGTAGTAGGCAGTGGTGGGGAATTTTTGTCCAATCACAAAAAAAAATCTTATTTTAAGAATTTTCAAACTTTTGATCAACACTTTTTTGTAGGGGAGAATCGAGAGATTTGAGATTTCAAGATTAAAACGTTGAGGGTCTGTTTACTAACAGAGATATTTTTCAGTTTTTTTTTCTTTTTTCGTTGTCTAATTTTTTTTTTCATTTTCCATTTTTTCTATCTCCAATTTTCTGTTTCATTTTCTAGTTTTCATTTCAAATCTAAAAACATGTTCACAATTTTTTTCACCCGATTCTGTTATCGACCAGAAGATCGAAAGTACGGTCCTGATTCAAAATCGAACCTAGTACAACCCAAGTACGGTACTCGATCCCTAGTATAGGAAAGTCAGGACCAAAATTGACTGGTCCTGGTCGATCTCAACAACACTTTTTAAACTCTTCACTTTAACAAAATAATTTTAAAAAATGGGGACTGAATCGGACCGTACAGGGACCGCCAGGTCACTGATCGGACTGAACAGGGACCGCTAGGTAGGTTGACCGTATCGGACCGGGATCTCCAAGTCATTTACCGATCAAACCCGGATTGCTCGTTCATCGATCGGACCAAGCATGTACTGCCTTGTCATTGATCGGACCGGACTGGGACCACTGTTTCGTTGACCGAAGTGGACAGGGACTGTCGGGTCATTGACCCGGCTGTACAGGGACCGTCGGAACGTTGACTTGACCGTATAGGGACCGTCAGGTCGTTGACCGGACCAGACCGGAACTGCCTAGTCGTCGATCGGATCGAATAGGTACCGTCAGGTTGTTGATCAGACAGGACAGAGACCGCCAGGTTGTTGACAAGACTGGATAGGGAATGTTGGGTCATTGACTGGACCGGACTAGAACTAACACTGGAGTGAGACCGGATTCACCACAAGGCGTAAGTATTAAGAATGAAAATTTATTACAACAGCACAACAACATCCACGTTTTTCAAAATTGGAAAACTAATACAACTCATTTCTCTAATTTATTAAGAAAACTAGAGACATATCTTTTTTTGTTTAGGAAAACGATTTGGTAAACAAATTTTTCTTGTTTTCCTTCTCCAATTTTACATCAAATTTTTTCGCTAAACACGTTTTCTGTTTTCTTGTTTCCGATTTTCTAGTTTTTTGAAAAACTAGAAAATATATAAATTAATAAACAAGCCCCAACATTTTCTAAAGATAAATTCTACTCCAACTTATTACGGAGTAATATAAATTTCACTTATTACTTGTGATTAGACAAAAATAATCTTATAAGGTTGCAGCAATACTGCCATTGGTCCGTGGTCAGATCGCAGGTTGCTTGTGACCGAAATATATTAATCGTCCACAAGGTAGAATGAAAAAGCTAATTACTGCCCATCGAAAAAACTATGTTTAAAAAACTGGATCGGGAAGCGACCCGACCGTGTGACCGGGTCATAGGTCAACCAGGTCCCGGTCGGATCAACCCGATTAATGCTATAAAACAGGTCAACCATTTAACCATAATAAGCATTGCCAAAAACTAATAAGAGCATAGCGGTAATAAGTAATGTACTAATCGCTAATAGAATATACTTACACAAAGAAGTATGGGGATCAGATGGTACTCCATATAAAAACACTCCTCCGTATATGTAAAGAGTTGGTGAAGTAGAATGAAAAGGAAAGGTAATTAAAGATTACGTAGTGGAGGTAAGAAATGGTTGCGAGCGGTAACTATTATTTATAGCAAGTGTGAAGTGCCGGAGCAAACCACTACGGAGTTTAATAGAGAGAGGATTTGTTCGCCCCTAAACGGCTAGATACCACCTCCCTTTCATAAAAATTGATCAAAATTTTCTTTTAAGCTTTGCAAAAAAACTTTGACATTTTTACCTAAAATAATGAATATGACATTAAAACAATTTCTCTTTCTGTACAAATCCTTATCAATAAATTTTATTTTATTATTTAGAAATTGTCCAATATAGGAGTAATATAAGCATAATTGAACAAATACGAGTTAAAATTAAAACTTTTTAATAGGAGTAAACATTAGTTTTCGACCTTTAATACTCCTAACCTAATAAATTCAGAAATAGGATTTATTTGATCTTACTAAAATATAAAAAAATCTATTTTTTTAAACTATTATATAATAAAAATTAAGAAAAAATAATAATTTTTTAAAAATAAAAAACTTTAAAGATATATAAAAATAGATAAAACACATTAAAAAATATTAAAAAAAATATGGAGGCCTTTCCCGTAGCATCGGTCACCACCTAGCAATTCCACCTCCGATCGGCGAAAAAAATGACATTTTATGTTAAACAAATTTCATAAAAATGACATATTTACTCTTTAAAAATGCCAAAATTTCTCGAAAATCGTCATCATAATGGCATTTTAAAAAAATGTTGGCAATTTTTCAGGTGATCGGAGCAGGTGGTGTTGGGAGTTTGTTGAGGTTGTGGTAGGTCTGCATGTGTTTTTTATATTTTTTCATTTTTTTTAATTTTTTAGTTTTTTATTTAACATTTTTATTTTAATAATTTTTTATTCTTATACATTTTATTTAATATGGAGTATATTTTATTTGTTATATATTTTCGTGTTTTTTATTTTCTTACAAGTTTATTATAAATTAATTAATGTTACTTCTTTTATGCTTTAATTATTAATGAAAGTAGTTGAGGCTTGGGGCTTGGGTAGTGGTATATTTGTCCAAACACTAAAGCTCCCCTCAACCCCAAACCTTCCCACAATCGTCACTCTCTACCCTCTCCGGAGGCAGCGCAGTGGTAATCAGTCTGTAATCAAGGAAAAACGATGGTCCAAACAGGGGAAACTTCCGACTCAGAACAAAACAGAAGGTCTTCAGGTCAGAGCAGGTATGGCCGGAAAATAATTCAGGCACAAAGCAGCATGGAAGAGAAGGCCCAAAACTAGCTCAGAAATGTACAGGCTAACCTGGTTGACGAACACGAACAAAATTCATGTTTATTGGAGGTAAACCACGGAAACATCGTTCGTTCTCAAGCAGCAGAGATGGAACGGACCTTCAACTGCCGGACCCCGATTCATTTTGGCAAGCCCCCCACTTCCTCAGAATACAAAGAGCCCACAACCGACTGGCGCCTTGTCAAACGACCAAGAAGCTGCAAACGCCGGAGAGTTTTCACTCCGATTGCGACAGAGGAAGGCGCGGTCCCTCCAAAGCATAAACCAGTAGAAACTACCGGACCCAGGTCTGCCAAAAAAAATCCACGCCAATTAGAGCTTCGAGCCACCATAATTTCCGGCCAAAACCTTCGAAAGCAGTTCACCAAACAAATTCCATTCAGGCCACCGAAGTGAAGGAGAACCCAAAGACAAAAAACCAATTCTGAAAACCAAAGACCCGCCGGAGCTAGGAGGGCCCCGGCGGCGGCGGCCACCGCAAGTGGTGGTGCCGACATGACGGGAAAGAATAGTCCGATTGGCTAGAGAGAGACTCTCTCAACTTTCCTCTCTCAGGCTCAAGCTTCAGGCTTCAAAAATGATACTCGTATTTGGGAAATTCACTCTTATTATTCTACGTGCAAAACAATTTTGACCAAGTTTTATGAAACAAAGGAGTATATAATTACTAATGTGGGTATGTAACCCGTTTAATTTCCATGTCGCCCATGGTTTAAACCTAAGATTCACAATTTCATTCATGGTCTTAACACGCTTATTTGACATATCATTAGTGGCTTAATTTAAATCATTTTAGCAGACATTTTATGTAACACCCTAACCCCTCGTGGGGCCTGATGTGGTTACTCATAAAAGATATTCGAATCCAGTATTGTCCCGATAAATCAACACGATTATTTTACTGTATACTTTGTCCACACTCGTGCATGCCCTGAGAAACTTTTCAGGAGGTCACTCGTTTCATGACTTCTCCCGTATGAACACGCTTAATTTGGAGTTCTTACCTGATTAGCTCCCTTAATAGAAGATGCACCTTGTTGGTGTGAGCTGTAATAAGACATAGAACAGTTAAGAACATTAAATTGTTGATCAGTGTTAGTTTTCGAAAGAGTTGAGAAGAAAATTTCAATCACAGTTAATTAGTTATGAAAAATTGAACTAATAAGAAAACAGTTCAGTCGAAGAATGTAAATTGAACTTTAATCACAATTTGACGCATAGAGAGTGTAACTCTGGCCCAAGTACTTGCAAAAATTCTATACATTTTTGCATCTTAACCTCTCGTTGCAGTTGTCAACATTCGAACACACGACTTATTCCTTGTGGCACTCCCTATCTACCACTTGATCGAGCTACGCTCACCGACTTAATTAGTTATGAGTAGCTACCTGACAAACATATGACTTTGAAAATCTTGAGCAGATTTAAGTGTTAGAGGTGAATTCATTGAGCGGTAGAATTAATGTGATGAAATTGGGATCATAGAAAAAGATTCGCAGTCTAAGAAAGAATAATGTTCCTATAAGAGCACTTAGAGGTTAGGGTTTGTTTACTTATTTCTCTACTTTTATATTTTTCAAATTTTCTTTGTTTTCCATTTCATTATTCGAAACCATAAAGTAGGTATATCCATTTCAAATCTGATAGAATCGAAGGAGGGGAAAATGATAAATATTATTTGACACGACAAAAAATTAATATGTGTGCATAATAAAAATAAAGTATGTACACGTAATTAATAACATTTGAAACAACACAAAAGTTTACATATCAAATTGCATCGTCCCATTTTCACGAACAAAGCTTAACAAGCGAATAATTTAAGTATGTTTATAGTTTTTAGATTAAAAATATATCTTTTTTTGCGCTTATAGCTACAACCACATCAAAAAGTGTTATGTTTTTAAAATTTTAAATATTCATTATTTTAAGCTCATGGGGTAAAAAAATTAAAGCTACATATTTTATTCTTGATCTATGGATTGGAGTTATTATTAGAAACTTATTTATTTTGGAAAGAAATTATAATAATACCTAAAAGTGTGTTAAACACTAACACATCTGACGTGCACTTTTTGTGAGATGCACTCAAAATAATTACAATACAACACTAATACGTAGTATAGTGAAGTAAGGTTCGTATCCACAGGGAAAGTAATACTTTTCTTCTATATAAGTAGTAACAAGGGGGGTTTAGATTTGTTTGATTTAAAAACACTAAGATGAACAACCTATATGAGTTTGATTAATAGATGTGGTGACTTGGTTTTGCTTTTATCCACTTAATGAAATGTTCGTCGATCCCGGTTATATCTTTAACTATCCTCCTCTCGAATACTCAATCGAGGAGTGTATCCTGTTCATCGAGGGTAGTTATTAATAACGAGATGCGTTCATTAATAAAACTTACTATCGAGTCAATATAGAACAAGCGACGTATATTAACTTGATAGTAGCAATAAACTTAAGATGAAAATGATTGAGATTGATAACATCAACACAAGCGGTTTATTGGTTTAATCAATATAATTAATTCTCCTTGGCATATTAACTATGAGATGCATGCATTAATATTCCAAGTTTACTACCGTTGAAAGAACCGGATTAATAACAAGCGTATTAACCGATCGATTCTGGTAATAATTAATATGAGAAACAATACTAGTTGTTACTTTAAGTCATGTTTAAAATATTAATATGAAATATGAATAGGAATTAATTAATACTCAAGGAAGAATATTAAAGAATATGAATCCTACTATGATTAATATCAAGATGTTAACTAATTGTCATCTTAGTAACACTCCCCAATATTAACATAGAGGAAAAAATAGCTATTACTATAACCAATGTCAAGATGTTAACTAATTGTCATCTTAGTAACACTCCCCAACTTTGATATAGAAATAGTATTTTAAAGGAAGAATTAATATTCAAGGAAGAAGATTAAAGAAAATAACTCACAACTTACAAATTCATTAAGCTTCAAAGTAGCAAAACCAAGATGGAAGGGTTTAGCTCCTCATTTGGAGATTAAACATGCTATAAAAATATAAGAAATGCTATTCTAAACTCAGCTTAGGAGTATGGAAGAAGGGATGCTTAAAAGTAAAGGTAAAATGGGGCTATTTATAGGTGTTTTACAACACCTTTGGCCGGGTACCCGACCGGGTCAAAGGACATACTCGACCGGGTAAATATCAAAATCAGATATTTTCCACGTTATGGTGATCTTCGGCACGTTCTGGTGTTCCGGGTCAAGTTTGACCCGACCGGGTGGCATAGGGGACCCGACCGGGTCCAACTCTTTCCTTGAAATTTCGGTTGTTAAATCAGACCCGACCGGGTGAAGTCTTCTACCCGGTTGGGTATTTGCTCCTGGACAGCAAAACCTCCTTTTTCTTCACTTCAAAGTCATCCTTTTCAACACCATAATTCCTAATTCTACTTTACAACTTACAAATGAGGATTAAAATACAATTACAACTAAAATCACACAAATGTTTACAAACTAAATAAAACGATAAACAATACACATAAATCAAACATAAAAATATACATTTATGCACTACTAATTAGTGCATATCAACATCTCCAAAATGTGAAAATTGATTTTCCTAATTTAACAAATAAAATATAGTATCCGACATAAACCATTGCATAGATCTCGATAAATTACGTGGTTTTACAGAATGTAGCCCGATCAGATACTACAGTGCAAACAAATACATAACACACATTATAGCACTGCGTATATTCATTTTGGAAAACACGGAAATATGACTCCTCCAATCTAAGTAGAAAATCAAAAACATGTCTCAATTTTTCAAATTTGAAGAATAAACAAATAATCCAAATTCTCTTTCTAATTTTCTTTCCTCCACTTTTCTAGTTTTCCGGAAAAAGAATATTCCAAAGTCAATAGATTGTTTTGATAAGGTCGCCTTTCTAACTTTAGAGACGCATAGGCATGAGACATATTTCAACTACCTCACGAAGTCTCCGGCATATATATTATAGAGAAATAGTTACCAATAGGACCAAAATATCTAGAATTACAGTAAAAGGACCTCCGAGATTTTAATACCTAGATAGGACTATTTATTTTTCAACTCCCTTTTTTTTCTTACGGTCCCTTTAAAAACAATCCTTTTGATTTTAGATTCTCCCTGCTGCAATACGCCCATATATGCTCCGTGCGCCATCAAGATGGCTCTGCGCACCAATTTTTTGACATAGCTGGACAAGTAATAAAGTATGTCCCTAGTCAAGCAGTATTTTTTGACCATATTGCTTCTTTAAAATAAAAATAATTTTTATTGTTTCCAAAATTTTGTGTAACTTGTTTCTGAATACACTTAAATTCCTAATACAATCGGGATTACACTTTCCAACTACCATCAAACAACTACTATATAAATATTTGGAACCCATTATTAATGCTTTTATAATTTTTTTTACAATCTTCTTATACAATGGGGGATGAATCTGAAAATTATCTAAAAAAATAGTACTCTTGATTTAATTTTCACACTTATGTGGTATTCATCTGCCCCACTATCTGGATCTCAGTTCTTTGTGATGTGATTCATTAAGTTTGTCGTATACAATATTTGTTAATAGTTTGATGGTCATATATATACTTTTTCATAAATCCATATATTGAATAATAGATTTTTTATTCTATTATCATATATCTAGGATGTTTTTAATAGAGATGTTTTTTATCCCAAATCAAACCAAATAAAATTTCGATAGTTGTATAACACAGATAGAACAAAAACACCCGCGCATAAACATACATCTAATAGGGCAGACCAGTTCAGACTAGACCAGGCCAAACATAAATAAAACAAAATAAGATAAGATTATACCAGATTAGACTAGACGAGTAAATTTTAATTCAATTAAAACATGCTTATGTGTATTATAATAATAAATTAATGTCACCCATTGATTTTTCTAATTGACAAATAAAGTATAGTATCCGACATACACCATTGCATAGATCTTGACAAATTACGTGGTTTTAAAGAAAATAGCCCAATCAGATACTAGAGTGCAAGCAAATACATAACACACATTATAGCACTGCGTATATTCATTTTGGAAAACACGGAAATATGACTCCTCCAATTTAAGTAGAAAATCAAAAACATGTCTCAATTTTTCAAATTTGAAGAATAAACAAATAATCCAAATTCTCTTTCTAATTTTCTTTCCTCCACTTTTCTAGTTTTCCAAAAAAAGAATAATCCAAAGTCAATAGATTGTTTTGATAAGGTCGCCTTTCTAACTTTAGATTAGTGACGCATACGCATGCGACATATTTCAACTACCTCACGAAGTCTCCGGCATATTATAGAGAAATAGTTGCCAATAGGACCAAAATATCGAGAATTAACGTAAAAGGACCTCCGAGATTTTAATACCTACATAGGACTATTTATTTTTCAACTCCCATTTTTTTTTCTTACGGTCCCTTTAAAAACAATCCTTTTAATTTTAGATTCTCCCTACTGCAATACGTTCATGCTCCGTGCGCCATCAAGATGGCTCTGCGCACCAATGTTTTGACATAGCTGGACAAGTAATAAAGTATGTCCCTAGTCAAGCAATATTTTTTGACCTTATTGCTTCTTTAAAAAAAATTAATGTTTCCAAAATTTTGTGTAACATGTTTCCAAAAACACTTTAATTCCTAATACAATCGAGATTACACTTTCCAACTACCATCAAACAACTACTATATA